TTTTTTCAAATATAAAAATTCTGACTTTTTCTCAGATGATATATATAGAAATGTATTTCTAGGATAAACCCCTTGAGGTACACCATCTAGTTTTCAAGGGGGTCCCGACAAAAGCAACGTCTTACATGAACACAATAACAGAAAGCAAAGCATAACAAACAAGGACAAACCACATACAGTCATGAAGTAATACATACAATCGTTACAATTAGATTGACAGTAATGTCTAATAGATCAGTTTCATCAATAACAAGAGCAGAGCAGCTGGAAGTGAGGTGATAATGCTTAAACATACCCAATGATGCAAGAGATCGAATAGTAGCAGCTAAAGTATTGATGAGATGTTTATTTGAGAAATGTGCACTTGGCTGAATCGTGTTTCCATGCCAGGGTACAGCAGTGGTTCTCAAACAGGCCTTTTCAAGCCCCACCTGTTCCTCATCGCTATAATAAAATGGTTGGCCAAGCTTAAAATTGTCAAATGTATCGTTCTACGACAGGGGTCTCCAACCTTTTTAGGATGAGAGCTACTTTCAAAAAATAAAACAAGTCGTGAGCTACTTATACACATTTTGACATTATTATATGGTGACCTTTAACCTTTGTGTGCTGTTTGGGTCTGTGGGACCCGTTTTCAGTGTTTACTCAAATAAAATGTATGCAATTTAATTATTATAACCTGCTTTATTTGGGGGTTGGACCTCACCTCCTCTAGGGGGGTCCGGGGCAGGCTCCTCCGGGAAGATGTTTTTTAAATATTGAAGTTAAATGCATCAATCTGGTGCACTTTGAGCACCACATGAATGTATGGATACAGCTCTCAACATTCAGATGAAAGGGAGCTGTATACTTTTCAATAATCCAAACATCTTTAGAATATGAACACAACCAATAACAAATCATTTAAACTTGTTTATGCTTATCTTATGTTACCTACGTGACATAAGCGTGCGTGCGTGCGTGCGTGCGTGTGAGCGTTTCACATGTGTGTATGAGAGATTTTTACATATGTCTGTAAATGATTTTGGTTTCAGTTGTGTGTATGTGAGCAGGCTCGGATTGGCCATCGGGAGATTCGGGACTTTTCCCGGTGGGCCGCTGGCTCTGGCATAGGTGGGACGTGGACTTTCCCAGCGCCGGTACCGCATCCGCCGCCGCAAACACCCGGTGGGTCCGGCGCAGCGCTGTGAAAGTCCACCGCCGTTGCGAGTCTCCGGCTGTAACAGTCCACTACCGCCCGCGAGGACCCAGGTTCGATTCTGGCCTCAGGTCCAAAAAATGTATTTTAAAAAAAATAAAAAATCTCCCGTTCATCGCGTCCGTTTGCGACCCACCTATCACATCCCTGCGCCCCACCAGTGGAGCGCGCCCCACACTTTGAGAAACGCTGGGTTACAGCGATATGATTAAAGAACAACAAGTAACTGTCCTCTGGAGTCGAGGGATTGCTTCTAATAACTATAAAGCTTTATTTCATACAACACGTGCAGCTCAAAGTGCTTTACAAAAGTTAAAAACAAGAAATTCCCCTCAGATTATTTGTTAAGAACTTTTAAAAGGTACATGCAGCAAAATATAACATTGTATCAGGTTAATAGACTCAAGGAGGTAAAAAGTATGATAATACAAATTCAATAAAATAATAATATCTCTCCGACAGATAAGACACAAGACAACTGAGTCGATGCAACAATATAAACCCAATAAAACAAAGTGAACATATAAGTACAACTGAAATACAAATAAAAAGATAATAGTAAAAAAAATGCCATAACTTTAATAAACGATTAAGGAATAAAAAAGACCAATGTAAAAAGAAATATTGCTATTGAAGCATGTTAGATTAATAAAATAAGATACAATCCTTTAAGACCTATACAATAAATAAAACAGTAATTAATAAAGACTAAAAGAACATTTAAAGAGGGGGGTTGCTAACAAAAAGCTAATCTAAAAATATGTATTATTGATGGATTATGTATTTTCATCCATTCATTTGTCTTTTCTCCTCAATCACATCTTCTGTCTCTTCTCTCTGTCTGAGGTAAAGCTGCTTTTCAAACGAGTTAAACGGCTCGCCTGCACTGAAAGGAAGTAGCCTGACACACACACACACACACACATAAATCCTCATTATCTCTTCTTAGTGGAAACTGTGTACACAGCTTGCTTGTGTTTTAACACAGACCTAATTCAAGTGTTGTTGACCATTATTCAGAATCAAGAGTACAGCAACCCCTTATTGGCTTTTCCTTTTAGAACCACCACTGAACGGCACTGTGTTATTGACTTTACATTACACAGCTTATAGACAAAGCCAAGACACATAATAACAGAAAGTGTGGAGCAGCCTTTTAATTGGCTAAAGATTAAGGCTTCCCTTTTTTCACAAGAACCTTTATCCGGACCCTAGTGAGAAGCTGTGGAAAAGTGTATGCCCTTCAAAACTAAAGGTATTAGGGAAATTGCATTTAAAGTGATTGAAATCGATAAGTTGAAGCTGTCCACACCAGAGAATAGACAGCATTTGTCATTTTTAGAACTCTTCATGAAGCTGTATGTATTGCTTTCCTGTACGATTGAAGTTGGGAGGATATTAGCTTAGCATAGCTTATTTTAGCATGAAAAATGGGGGCAAATTGGACCAAAATGTCTCCCCCCAAAATCGCCAAAAAACACCTCCAATGTCCATCAAAATGATTTTATCTGGTATGTTTTAACTACATAAATACATAAATGTAAAATAAATGTGGTTTCATTGAGAGTTCTGTACATTTTTGAGTTTATTGTTATTTGAAATAATTGTACTTTAAGGGTTTTAATTCTAACAATAAGTCTAATTGAACATTTTATTTAGCGTGATTATTCTAAAGAAAAGGTTTTAATAAATACATGTGGTTTGATTGGGAGGGTGGTACATGTTCTAGTTTATTCTTAATGTATTCTTAATTTATAGGATATTTTGGATTAATTAAGGTTTTGACAGAAGAAAAAGAAAGTCCCTCCTCCTGTTGTGTAAATAAGGCGCAGAAGGCAGAGAAATGCTGTGGTTTTATTATCCATCTCAATGCAAAGAAAGTCTCCCAACCATTCCTCATACTGGTTATTAATATTAATGAGGGAATAGCATGAAAAAGATTACCTGCAGATGGCCGGTATATTCGGTTACTACTTTTTGACAAACAACAGCTGTGCACACTGACATCCCAAAGCCTGTCGTCGCTGTCGGGTTGTAAATAGTTCCTTAAAGGTCATTGTTTGTTTTTGTCAGATCCGAAAACAGTCATACGAATCATTCTTGCAAAGGTCATATTGGTCGTTTTTCGAAAAGGTTTCAAAACAAGGTTGTTTATGTATCAGCACGGACAATGTATCTGCCTACACACACATGAATATTTAAATGTGTGTGTATCAGACAATACATGTATTCAGTTATCTACTCAAACAAACGAGACAGAGAGAAAATAATACAATCAAGGAGACAATTAAATACAACAGACTTACACTCATTAAGGTTAAAGGAAAATATGCAAATCAGGGTTTTTTGTAATCGTGCTTATGGCGATTAGTGAAATATGTACACACACTCCTACTGTGCTCTCCTACTGTAGATATTATCATAGACTCCCCGCCCACTTAACTATCTCAGCTGGAAAGCCCAGGTCCATCTGGAGATGTGTTGCCTTGTTATCTCAAACACACACACACACACTCTCAAACACTCAAACATATGGACACAACAAGGAAGCGCATTCATCTTCCATTCTTAAACGTACCACACATTCTCTTTTCAAGCACTCTCTTCTTCTGTTACGAGCATACACACACACACTTTTCCTCTCCCACACAAACTTGCAGTACACTCTGATTCATCCACTACCCTTGAAGACATTTACGAGGTGCTGAATCACTAAGCAGTCTGAGAGGTAAGGGTAAACAGAGAAGGACAGTATTTCTGCACACACTGAAATGTTGCTATGTGAGGGTGATAGCATCAAAGCCTCCTTCCTCTCCAGTTTGTTTTAAATAACTGTAGTGTTTGACAGTAGCAGTCATTCTCCCTCCCAGATTTGTATTAGAAGTGCAGATAATATTTTTAAATGCTAAAAGAGGGCTGTCAGAAATAAATAAGACAAAGGAAGTGTCTGCTTTAATGGCTGGCCAAAGGGGGGAGAAGAACTGCAAGAAATGTGAAGGCAGGAATGAAAGTGAGGGAGTAGGTATGTGGTCAAGCAATGGAGAATGCAATAAAATATGAAATAGGGATGCCAAATGAAAATGACCAAGGAAGGTAAATGGAAGAACACGATGTTGGAATAGTCAAGGCAATCAAAGATGAAGAGGAAACCGGGCAGAATGAAGGATGATGACATGAAAAGGAGCAGGGCGAAGAAAATAATCTTATAATGCAGTGTTTCTCAAACGTTTTCATACCAAAGACCACTTAACCAATAAAAAAACACTCGCGGACCACCTAACTCCACAAATATCAAAAAACACATCGTTTTTCTAGAACAGATTACAAATCACGTGAACATGGTACAAACAAGTGGCAACATGTGTGATGAAGGTGTTGCGCTGAAACTTAACCTTGCTCCATTGCGGAGATATTCCCGCGAGAGTGCGGAAAACTTATTAAATGTATTTATTTATTTCAAATGTGAAATGTTACCAATATACTCACGGACCACTAGGGGGCGCTCACGGACCACCTTCACTTTGAGAAGCACTGTTATATTACCTGCCCCTTTCTAAAAATACATTTTTTTTAAATGGAAATGAGATGGTCTGTCTTTCATATGTTCTTATTCACACAGTATCGTAGGATAATAACAGAAACACGAAAACTAACTACAACAAATACTTAGTTCCCACTTGACAGTTAAACTAAACAAAAAACAACAGCACCGAAAAAGAAAAATTACTAGTGGAATACACATTTTGCAAACAGGAAGTTGGGAAGAAATGATCTGACTTTTCTTTGTTGGTTCCTTCCACAGATCAACCTCATCATCAAGTCTGACCTGAAGGAAGAACATTGGGACATCTTGGATACAACCAACCCTGGCAGCAAAGCTCAAAGCTGAATGCAGATGCTAGAACTGATTAATACTCATCTCTGAATTTCTGGTTAAGATCTTGAACGGATCTACAACGGCCATGGATGTGAGTAAGCCGACTTTCAGATCTAAATTAGAAACTCTTAGACTCTTAGTTCCATCAAGAGGTGGATGTGACTGAACCACCACCAAGAAAACACGGGACATTTTGGCCCAGCGTACACTTTGAGAACTCATCGCCAATGACTTGTTGGCCAGAACTGGGAGATTCAGATCTCCAGGAACAGTTTGAAGTTGTTTTCAGCTGGCAATACCTATAATCACTTGTTGCTAGATCCTCAAAATCCCCTCTTTCCTGTCATTTCCCATCCTTAAAACCTCTTCTCCCCGTTTCTGTCCCTTCCCAAAGAACCTTATGAAAGGTGGTTTTAGGAATCCATTCAGGGAGACACACTTCAAAACTCTTTAAGAACGTCTTCGTCAATGGTGAACAAATCCAAATGTCCACCTTGTTCTTCCCTCTGCTGGTGAAGAAGGTGAGTTAAACCTCAAACCTCCAATAGAGTAAGAGTCCGTCGTTGGGATGGGCGGCCCAGCGAGGGCTCTTCTCGGCGGGTTCAGCACTACAACTTCTTCCCTGGCGGTTGGCCCTCGTATGGCTTGGCCCAGCAACAAGCCCCTGGACCTCAACCAAACCCTGTCGTTGGGTTTAGGTGGAGGCGCGGCTGCCATGAGTGCAGGTCTGGAAAATTTCACCCAGGAGTCTGTGACCAGGTCGGCGATCAAAGACAAGAACTGGCCGGCGCTGCTCATCCTCGTCATCATCGCGCTGACGATCGGAGGCAACATCCTGGTGATCCTGGCGGTGTCGCTGGAGAAGAAGCTCCAAAACGCAACCAACTTCTTCCTGAGGTCTCTGGCCGTGGCGGACATGCTCGTCGGCATCCTCGTCATGCCGGTCTCCCTCATCAACATCCTCTATGGTGAGTGCTCTCTACCTAAAATCTTTATGTAGACATGTACAGTGAAATACTTGAGTCAAAACTATATGTTTTGAACCTGCAAGTACGCAAAGGTCCAGGTAATGTACATATTATAATGTTGTATTGTCTATTACTCAGATGGAACTACTACGCGTCCCTTGTTTCTAGAGCTGTCCGTGTTCTCGTCTGTTTGGGAGTATATTTGAGGCTTATGTAGACATGTAAAGTGAAATACTTGAGTCAAAACTATATTTTCCGTCCTTGCAAGTAAGCAAGCGTTCATGTGATGTAGATATCGTCATTGAAGGGTGTATGCTTTGGCTCTGTGTTGACTTTCATGTACAATTTGTTGTGACCGCATGGACTTGTCTAAACTTCTACGCACAGCCTCAACGCTATAGGTGGTTTTATAGTGATATTTGACACAGATGGAATGAAGAAAGTACCACAAACACTACGCGTCCCTCGGTGCTATAGTTTTCCATGTTCTCGTCTATTAGGGACTATTTTGTAGGTTTTATTAACTTGCAGAAAGCAACACACATTGAAAGCTTTATTACAGATAACATTGTATGTTGTTAACCTTTAACTTGATGTATATTGCTCACAATCACTCGTACATATCTTTTGATAATGCACATACATTGCTGAGATCCTGGAAAGTCAAACAAAGGTTGCAAAATAACTACATACGATGTCAAACATTAGAACAATGTGCATTCTGTCCTTCAGATTTCATTGTTAAAACAAGCCTGTTAGGAACCTTACAGACACTTGGACTCAAACGCACGACTCAAAAGAGTTTGTTCAAAAAAAGTCTTTACTTTGTAAAAGTATAAAGTTCAAACAAAAAATCACTCCTGAGAGGCAAAACGTAGTAAAACAAATTACAAACTAAATAAACTTGACTATGGTCACAAAGTACATTAATCTCTTGGCGAGACAAGCTGGCTCTCTTAATGGCACAAGGCACAAGACGAACTGGCACAGGACAAAGGGCGACAGGACTATTTATACATGAGGTAAGGGGGAACAGGTGGAAACAATCAGGGGCGGGGCAGACGCTGACGATGGCGGGAAAACACACAAAGGGAGGAAGTAAGGGGACCTGAAATGAGAGACAAGGGGTAAGTACAAAATAAAACAGGAAGTGCAAAGACAGGACTAGACAGGTAAACAAAAGACTTGACTAAACATAAATCTAACCTGGGCTATGAACTAAACGTGAAACAATAACATGAACCTGATTAACATGACATAAACAATTTAGCAGACATGACGGGATGTTACAAAGCCGTACATAAATAGCTGCATTCAGGAACACACTTACTTACAGGGTCACCTCCAGATGTTCCAACTTGCACTAAGTAGTTATAGTTATTTAATCTTGACGGATACATCCCACCCAATATTTAAACAATCCTCGCTGCAGATTCCTAATCTCAGAAACCTTCCCACTCAGCAGCTGCTGAAGGCACACTGTGAAATGCGCCCTGTCATTATTTCAAAACCCTCTTTCAATGCAAATGTTGAAATTATGACTCCTCTGAGACATTGCTCATTGATATGTAGCAAGTGATTCAAGAGCCAGCCTGATAATTGCAATATCAACTGCTGTGCTTGCTTACAATATTCCTGCCAGGATTCAGCATGAACGCCCACATTAGTTAAATAGGATGTCGGGTTGTTATGTGCAAGGCTGCCTTTTGTATCTCATTGCCAATGATGAGTGAAAACATAACATTAAAAAAAGGATCTAGCATCTCAGCCAGTTCTCTGCAGGAACACCACGAAATAGAGGCATGTTTTTTACCGTGTACCTGTAAATGTCACCAGCACAGAGGAGCTGATGGTAGGCGAGGAAATCTTTCCCAGGGCTGAGTATCATCACAAAATGACCTTTGCAGTTTTCCGTGACAGCAATCCCGGTCAACATCTCAGCAGGTCAAAATTTACTGTTTTGCTTTCCAATATCTAGTTTAGTCTAGTCTCAAATATCACAGCAATCAACCATTTATTTGTGTCACTTGCTGTATTGTAATCCCTTAAACAAACAGACTTTTGCTTACATGCTGTTGTTATTATTTCATGCTCCAGTTTGGTCCCCACCAGCTCCTAAAGGAAATATCTTTAGCTGCTTGTTAACTTTGTCTCTCGGCCAATCAGTTCTCGGCATCAATACATACCGGTTTCTTTTCAGCTTCATGCTTCAGCTGAAAGTAACATTATTGAGAGCCATGAGAGTGATTCAAAACGGACATTTTTCAAGCCAGACAACCACATTTTATTTATCGAAACTGTAGTGTCAGGGGATATTCCATCATGGGTTCTTCTCAGCTCTCACATTGCTTTTATCATTCATATTTACATACTGAATGTGATTGAATTCTCTTATTGTTTTGGATAACAATATTTTACCAACAAAGATTTATCCAGTCTTTTACATTACACATATTTGATCCACTGTTATAATACAAAAATATTGATTATAGGCATTTTTACTCACTTCAAAATACCCCCACCTCATTGGAAAATGCTTACAATCCATATCAATGTTGTGACAAATATCATTTATTATTTATAAATGTGATTGGATTCATTTGTGGGCTAAATTCTCTGCACAGATGATGATAGAGCATATCATATTCTGGTCACATGACAGCAGAGACGGCCAAATCTGAATCTGTTGACGTAGCTCTTATCACGGCAGTTGAAGAAATGTGGAAAGTAGATGGTTCAGTTAAATGTTTTGGGGCTAAACTTCCTGACAGTGACGTTGATGTGAGAAGGCTCCTCGGATCTCGGCCAATGTCATGTGTCATTTTGTGTTTGTCTGAGAACACTCGGTTTAATTGACTGAGTTTGTGTGCAAACACTGATGGCATTAAAGCCAAACAGAATTACCCTGGGGCAAAAATGACGAGCCATTTTACAAATGAGACAGCACAACACATATTGACAAATCTACATGCACACACACACACACACACACACAAATCTACATAAATATTATCTTGACGGCACAGAAATGTTTTCCATTTTGTAAGTTGTTTGCACTTCAAATTAAATTCACACCAGTCAGGATTTTTAGATTTTGGACTTTTTTAAAGTTTTTCAACACTGATATATTTTACATTAGCTAAGAGGGGCATAATATACGATTACTTCATCCATTAACAGAATTTAAACATTTTTATAAACACATATTTTATCTTGCGGCTGCTTTTTCACTTTCATGCATTGACAATATGCAAAGAATGGAATTATAAAACAGGATTTAAAGATTAGAATATGAAGAAATTATGGAAAGACTGTTTTGTGTTGCATCATGGGAAATTGAGTCCTTACGAGTTTGGGAGCTGGACCCCCAAAATGTATCTAAGTGTCGAACCACTTTAAATCAAAAATATTATAAATGGACAAATTAATCTATACATAAACGCAAGGATATATAGAAAAAGTACTTCATATAATAATAACATAAAACACCTTCATTTGTCCGTCTTCTTCCCTTTCCCCTTTTGTATGCTCTGCACAACTTGGCCGACCCAACTTCCGTTATGTCTGGCTTTGCAGCTGGAATCCTTCAGGAATACTAAACAGGACAGTGACGCTTGATTGGTGCTAAATGGGCCTTGCATGGTCGATGGACACACACACACACACACACACACACACTCACATTGTCTGTCTGTGTGTATGAGTTGAAGCGGCTGCTGCTGAATGCTCAGTGCGGTAATCAATGTCTCGAACAAACACACACACCAACACACGCATAGCATGGATCTATAGCTGCAGTGTTATCCATCAGACTGGTACTTGACTGTATTGATCTCCACGGCTGGCTCACACACACACACACACACACACCTACGCTCGAGAACAAGCACAATGTTCTCACACCATTTCACTTGACAATGATTATAATAATGATAAAAGATGATGTGGATGGTAATTTAGCAACTTTGTATCTCTGTGGATACTTGCACACACACACACACACAAACACAGACTTTTCATGTGTCAGCTTGCAATTTGATATCCTGTTATTTCTGTCTTTAATCACAAAGTTTCCATGACTTTCCATATCCGATCTAATCATTCAACACTAATCTGACGTCCTGTATTCATCTCAAATGTGGGGAGGGATGAGGTAACAAGTCACATTTTTGTAATTTAGATTCATTTGGCTTGTATTGTCTCTTGGCTCTTTGTCTGCATTGGTGATTGAAACAAGTGCTAATTAAACACTGATAATATATGGAGCGGAGAGAATGTCATATTTGCAGGTGTGTGACATAAACAAAAATGGCACAGCACAATATATCAGGCAACCAAACGTATAACAAGCAAATGTATAATAATTGTTTAATATCCATGGATAAAATGGTACGTAAGAAAATGACATGGAACAAAAGCAAAAGAGGAAGATGAGACCATACGGACTCAATCAGGACACACACACACACTGTCGAGAGAATATGACATTCAAGGCCAACTCAATCAAAGCTACCGCCTGAGGCTATCTCTTTGCAAAATTGGAAACACACACTCGCTGATAAAAGCACACATGCACGGAAACATACACACACATTGATGCCAGACACCTTCCCACAGACGGATTAATATGAGCTTGTGGAAGTTTATGAAGAGTATTATGCAGAAGATATGATGCAGCATATTTTTTGGTATATTCATTTTAATCTCACCAATATATAAGAGGTGTATTGCATCATGTTATCCCTAATATATGTGTGGGTATATACATTCCTGTGTGTTAATAGTTGAAGGAACAAAATACATTTTTCCTCTTAAATATAGAGGTTTTTTATAGATTCCTGAAACAATGTTCCCTTTTCTTAAAAGTAGATTAGCGCAATAGTCTTTTTCTTTCACTTTTACCCTTTTTATCAAAGGGGTGTTTTAGGCTATTTTTGAGGAGGTAAAATGCAGAATTACTTGTGAGTTCTGTTTTGAGTGAAAAGATTACCCTTTTGAGT